AGCAGGGAAGGTGTCATAGACCTGTTTGTTCAGTGAGTGCAAGTCCATGCTGTAGCCAGTACATTTTCAAATTTACAGGTTCACTAAATGATAGCAGTAATTAAATCCCCCAAAATGTAAATCTTATGTGATTTCTAATGAAAGCCTTGTTGCAAAACTGTGGTGTGCAAACTGTAAGGGCAATCGCACCTTAATGCTCATGTCATAAACTAGAATCAGTTTTCTTTTTAATTAAATAAAATTTAGTTTCTATTGATGTAAAATTAAACAGTTAGTATTACAAAATGTCTTCCTCTTCCAAGAAATTATTGCAAGTGATAAAACACTAATATCTTGAAAACTTTGGTTTATTTCTACTGTAAATCAGTCATATTTAACAAAAAGGAGTAACAACTGTTAATTTATCATGTAGAGTTCAATGACAAAGTTTTTCCTGTCCTGTGAAAAATGACACCATTTCAAAATGTTTCCTGTTTCACATTAGGAAGAACTTGAGCTCTCTCACCCATGGTTTTTCACAAAAAACATGAGACAAAGAGACCATGAAACAACCAAGTTCAGAACAACCCTCCTGTCTAAATGTCTAAACCACTTACCTACTTGAGTTACTTATTATCATCAGGCAGGGTCCTGTAAATTTTCCCTGATTTTCTGAAAAAAACTTTAAAATAGTTCCTTTTCTTTGATGTTTCAACAAATATTTCTTTTAAGGAATCAAACTGCCACCTAGGAATGTTTTTGTCAGCTGCTGTGATGTGGTAACTAGTAACAGGACAAACAACATTTCTGTGTGATTCTCTAAGCCTCAGCAGCCTTAGCAGGCATATGTTAGGAGAAATGCACTGTTTTAGTGAACACACAGGAAAACATTTCATAAAATACCTTTACAGATACCTCAGCAATTTTTTTCACTTGTACTTATTACAGACTTATAAGGAAAAAGTAGTCTTGTAATTCACCTTTCAGACTATACACAAAACCATCGATAACTGAGGGTCGTGCTACAGTGAAAACATTTACTTGATAAATACAGCTCTGCATGACTACAAAAGTAATAAACAACTGAGAGAAAAACAGGATGCCTTTGTGTCAGGGGAAGGGACTTTTATCCCAGTAAAAAATTAGTTACTACAAGCAATTGGAAGCAAACAAACATACATCACACAGCAGATGTTCAGCAGATCTTGCATAGTTCCTTAGGAACCACTAAATCAGCTTTTACAGGTCTGTCTGTCAGGCTCGACACACATCAGCCTACATGCAGCGTATGAAAAATTCATGCTATATGCAACCATACAACATGCTCCAGCCCATGGCAGCGGGTGCCCAAAAGATGCATAGAGGAAAGCTCTGTAAAACTTGGGGTCACCTGTGCTAACAAGCAACAGAACCAACAGGAAGCGACTCAATTAAACACTGTTTTTGCCCCATCTCCATGTAGTAACAGAAATTCAAATATTATGGAAAATCCTCATTTCTGTACTTTCTATATGCTTGTGTCAAGGATCCAGAACCACCGTGAAATTTCTGATAAGTGAATTAACTCACTACTTGAGAGCAGTTTCAGCTTTTGGATATTACTGTGATATGTAAAATAATTCAGATTAAATTACTCTGTTTGAACAGGAAGCAGGAATAAAGCTAAAAAATCCCATGAGCTTTATACTAATGAGAGAGACTCCTAAGTGAACATGTTACATCTCAGAGCTATTCTCACTTAACATTTTCTTTATTATGAGAAAGTTTATAGGCTAACCTCAGGAATGATGTTTATTTTTAGGAACTACTATGCAAGTACTCTTTCTCTATCACTACCCAAAAGTAGCCTGAAACAACTTCCTAATGGTTAGCTGATTTAGCTGACACATTCACTCAGTGTGGACAAGAACTAATCACTTTCATTTAAAACCAACACTCATTTGCTAAACTTCACTAAATAATATCAAAATATCACATAGAATACTACTGCAGGACTCACAGTGGGAAAAGAAAAAGCAGCCTACAATATCAAAATACCAAATCTGCCATGGCATTTATGATGATATGCTTCCCTTTATTTTCTTATTAACAACAGAGAGAGGAAGAGAAGGGAAGGGGAAGAAAAGGAAATAAAGAAAAATAAAAAGGAGAAAAAAAATTGAAATAGTCGCATTATAAGTCATACTACTAATATTCAAACAGTAGAAAAGATAAGTACTAGTCACACAGTAAAAAATCTAAAATTAAAATTGTTGAAGAAAACAAAAAAATGCACTTCAGCGCAAACTTAAAAGCGTTTCAGCTGCATCATTTAAAAGATGGTAAATGCTTTTCATGAATGGCATGGGGCTATGATATGACATGAGGCACAGTACAGAACTACATATAAAACCCATGCACCATACTCACAAGTATAAGTGATTCAGTAAGTGCAGAAATTTTAAAAAATAGCCAAGGTTCAGCTTTGATTAATCTCCAGTTTTTCACCAGGAAAAAAAAAAAAACAAAATCAAACCCTTTACATGCCATGATGACTAAACTTTATTCTAGTAATTCCCTAGTAACTGCAAAAAATTTGCTGCAACGCTTTCCTAGTTAAGAAATATTGCTCTTGCACTTCTGACAAGTATGCAACTTCTTCAAAAACATGTTGGCTTGCAATTTTGGAGCATATTGTCACTTTTTTACTGGCTCATCTTCAAAAAAGAAGGGAACCATTGCAGAAAATGAAATGAAATTATAACAATGGTGCAGTTCTAAGCAACTCAATACTGGCTTGCCTGTTACAACTGCCCATTAAAACGCAAATCTTGATAACGTCAGCAAGTCAAATGAATTAGCAAAGAAATCAGCTTAATAACATCAAGTCCAAATAAAATCTATCAACATACATCTCAGTATATCAAGGATGCATCTATTTCCTTTCAACACTTCTAACAGGAGATAGTAACTTAGAATCATATTACAATACAAAGGGCTTTCTTAGACTTACCTACCCTGTACAAAATAATTATATAGCTTTCAGGATAATGAACATGATTTTTCATCTACCAACAAAATTAACAGGGGATTCTACTTTGGTTTCTACAGACAAAGCACTGAAGTCCATGCAACAGCAATTCTAGTACTGTTTGCTTATTTAGACAAAATGGAAACTAGCTTCATAGAACTCTAGTAAAACATGAGAGGAGACAGAGTAGAAAAGAGAAAAAAAGACATTAAAAGATTGCAGAATAATGTTTCTGTTTCATATGGAGGTGAGATCACTGAATTGTGGAGCCAAGAGGCTTTCCCTGTGTAAAAAGCTGTAAACACATAAGCAAGGATGAAGGGATTTTGCTCTTTAACAAACTGTCAACTTTAATTTTGTCAGGATAACATACTTGCTAGTCAGCATCACCAAGTATTAGAAAAAAAGAATTCCAAGAAAAGACCTTTCAGAGATCAAGCATGTCCTGGTATTACAATTTCAGAATGATATTAAAGGCATTTAAGAAGGAGATTCTCAAATCTGCCTCTAGAAGCAAAGGCAGATGTAGGTAGAAAAGACTCCAAAACTAAAATTCTGAAGCTAAAAGAACCTAACATAGGAAGTACAACTGGCTACTAAGTGCTAGTAACTTGTAAAGACCAACTAATATTGGATGAGTAGGTAATGGGTACAGCATTTCTTGTTGAATAGATGTGATGAATTGTTTGGTTTTAACTCACGAAATGGTTTTAACTCTCAATGAAACGGCATATCATGTTGCTACTTTGGAGTGACTAGAAAAATCACTGTGAAGTTTTCACTAAGCATGATTTACAAGCCATAGGAAGCAAATGAAAATGCTGTTGGCTCTTTTACTTAACCAGCTACACACAACTTACCCTTGAGCACAAACTTGCTCTTTGCTAAGAAATAGGCTTAGAAAAACTCCCTCCTTATTTAGGCTCTCATCTAAAAAGAAAAAAAATCAGTTGCTACAGAGATTGCTCGCTTAAAAAAAAAAAAAAAGTTAACAAAGCCAATCCTTGTCTGTCTTAATCTACAGGCGCTCTGAAGTAACGCAGAAACATGTACTGCTAAAAGCTGGATTCCTTTGCCAGGACTGGAATGTTTAAATATACTATGTTCATTCTCCCAACATTTGAGTGAAGGGAGATCTTCCCTTAAGTTTTGCCTCACCAAGGCCAAAATAAACAGCGACTTTTGATCAGTATCTAGATAGGTCGGTATTTGTGCCCAAATCCCATGAACTGGCTCCAGGGGAGATTTTGGGAGTCCACAAGGCAGTATGACCTTGTTTCTTTAACAGAAGTGTCATACGCAAACACAGAGGAGAGGCAAGAACTTGTGCCTACAAGACGAAGAGCTCCCATTTCATGCGTTTGTTCCTTTGGAGGTGAGCTGCAGGCTCACTAAAAGAATGGATGGATGAATTTTCTGTTACCTGTGCTAGCATTTCAGGGAGGTTTTAAAGTATTCCAATACCACCCACAAAAACCTTGCATAAGGGCATTAATACTGACGACAAAGTAAATTTTTCAAAGACTACGAGTAATTACAAGAGCTTTACCCCAACCCCTTCAGTTAGTGCTCCTGCCTGAACTAGTGCGCTACGACTGAAAGACAGGAGGCACAGATAATTCACAAAGACCTGTGCCTTTCCAGATCACCATTCAATCTCTTTTGGCATTCATCATCTACGATCCTCAAGCGTGCAGATCCTCAGTTTGGAAAATACAGCCGGGAAGCTCCCTTCTCGGCCAGGAAGGGGGCTCCGCCGCCAGCAGCTCCAGGCAAGCGGCACAACCCGGGCAGACCCCACGGGCTGCCTTCGGCGGGGCTGCGGGCAGCCCACGGCAGCGGCGACCCCGCTCTCCCGGGGAGGAGCAGGAAGCGAGCGCGGAGCTGCTCACGGCCGCCCTCCCCCGACACCGGGCCGGCCCGCCGCCCCCCGCCCGCGGGGGACACCCCGATCCCCGGCCGGCGAGGGCAGCGGGGCGGCCCGGCCGGGGCGGCCCCTCCCCCGCGTTACCTTCCCGGTACTTCTTGCGCAGCCGCCGGTGGACGCTCTTCACCACCCCCGACAGCTTCTCCTGCTCCAGCTTCCGCTCCTGCTCCGGGGGTGGCGGCGGGGCGGCGGCGGCCCCTCCGGGCCGGGGCCGGGGCTGCGGAGCGGCCTCCATGGTGTTCCCGCTGCTCGCCGCGCACCGCCCGGCCCAGGAGGAGGCGCGCGCCGTGCCGGGGCCGCGCCGGGCGGGCATGCGCGCACCGCCCCCGCCGCGCGGGCAGCCGGGACATGGAGTCCGCGCGCGCGCCCGCGTTCCGGCGCTCCCGGCTCTCCCGTGCCGACTGAACTTCCCATCCGCACGTGGGGAGCCCGTCACTCCGCGGTGCTTAGCGCAACAGTGAGGCGGAAAATACAGCGAGTGTCCGGGGCAGTGCGGCTTCCCCTGTAGCCAGTGTGCGTTACCGCAGCTGACGGCCTTCCCCAGAGATTCCGTGAGAGAGCCGGCCGGGAGTGCGTCTGGCAAGGCGTGGAAAAACCCAATCCCCACCTACAAACGAACGACCTTGCGGAAAAAACCTGAATTCAGAACATATCCGAGCAAACCTGGGCGGCTTGGTGGCCGTGGTGTGAAGAACACAAGTTTTGTTCAGCGTTTTTATGTGTTCATGGAGCTGCTGGGCCCTTTCCCTGCGCAGCCCAGATTCTGGCATGCATTTGGGTGGAAAATGCACTGCCGGAGCAGGAGCAGGAGCAGCACCTGCAGCCAGCAAAGCTGCCCCTCACAGCCGCCCTTCTGACTGCAGCTCTCTGTGCCCGGCCGCAGCCTTTCCCCACATCCCAAGTACTTCAGTTCCCTCTGTTAGTAATTGTTGGAAATAACAGAACCATTCCTTGCCAGATCATGGCAGGGAAATAAGCCATGAAGCTGCTTGTTTGACATGGCCGGAAGCCGCTAATTGTCTTATTTGAAGATGTTAAAAAACATTAAGGGGGTAGTTGCGCTACAATTAAATCTGTGACAAATCTGACAGGAGGTAGGGTTGAGATTTCATGCTGATGAGAAGTCTGTGACACACTGTGCAGTGGGATGTATAACTGGTTCTTATCAGCACCATGATGGTCCTGCCAGGAAAAAAATTACAGCTAATCACAGAACGCAGTGGTTTTCTGCTTTTCTGATAAAATTCTTTTGAAGGTGGAATTATCAAGGCAAAACTCTCATGTCCAAAGAGAAGGTTTTCATTGTTAGTGACTGCAAATTTTTCCCTTGTTCACTCACTCCGAGTGATGTTTGCAAATACTGATCTCACCCATCACCTTGAAGTGCCCATGTAATGCTCAAAATCCAACTTTTCCTGTGCTGATATTTTTTAGAGAGTGTTTAAACAACTTCATTGTATTTTGGATCTTTCATCACTGTGTGTTATGTATTTTATTGTAAGAGTATTTCCGTTTTGTTGAGTGGGTTTTTTTTTTTTCCCTCAGAATAGAAGAGACTAATGGAAGGAGAATTTAAATTTTTGCTACTATCATCAACAATAAGAAAGAAAAAATCAATGTAGTGACTGAGTTTTTCCTTTACTTACATTTTACTTCCTAAGTTGTGAAACTGAAATAAGTGGTCGTGTTGACTTTAAAAACATCCAAAAATAATTTTTTAGTCTGGATTACTGTTCCACATCAAACTAGTTCAGGAAGTTGAATCAGAAATAAAACTTTATGCTGGGGTTAATTATATCTTTCTGAAATATTTTTATTTCTAGTTTTATATGCAAGTCCACCTAAGAAGGATTAAGATGGTGTAAAAAGAGATTACAGTGATAATTACTGGGACAGGGAGCCTACATGGTGTTCTTTACATTTAATGTTCTTTACATTTTTGCATTGTGTAGGATTGGGGAAGCACAGGCTGAGGAGGAAAAGCATGAGCCAGTGTTCTGTGTATGGCATCACACATGAGCACTGAGGGAGGCATCTCAGAAGAGTAGGAGTATCCGAGTGACAGAAGAGAGATGGAGGCATTTGGAGGATGCCTGAAAACACTGCTGTGGCATCAACACTCCCAGTCATGAGCCTCCAGACTTGGAAGTGTTGATTACACAGTCAAAATATGAGTGTGATTTGGAGAATTGGAAATCTAACTGTAGAATTGGAAAACTGGGGTGAAATTATACTTATGTGAAATATGCTCTCTCAGAATAGTAAGTTATTATTTGAATTATGTTATCACTGTTGTTTTTCAGTTCTCAGGGTTGCTTTCTAAAACTAGTAAAGTTTAAATACAAAGTAGTTTTAATTTATCACTATGAATGAACACAGAAGTTTAGTTCCAATAAGGAGCATTTATCACATGTCAAGTCTTTCCAGCCATGACAATTAAAGAATATTTGATGAAGAGGCATTATAGTCACAAGACACACAGACGTTTTCCCTGGAATATGTGATGAGAGCTGGGTCCCAGTGACAGGCTTCAAATGCAAAATAATTGGAGGAGGTGTTTCCCCAGAGCACTGCATGGAGATATTGGTGGGCAAAGGAGTGGGCAATTAAAGCAGGACTGGTTCTCTAAGGCCTGATGGAACTGATGTCCCAGTGCTCTGTCAGGGTGGAGAACAAAACATGTGTGATCTATACATTTCTTGAACACATTACAGGAAGACTCAAGGAACAAATTAAGATTAATATAAATGTAGTTGGCCCTGAGGCATAAGAATAGAATGAGCAATAAGGATGCATGCACTTACTCCAAGGGGATAAAAGCAATAAAATACTTGTGTCCTGATAGGGCACTTACTCCAAGGGGATAAAAGCAATAAAATACTCGTGTCCTGATAGGGGTTATGGAGTTTCTGGGAAAGAATGGTTTTGAGCAGCTGGACTTACTACCTTGAATGTAGAAAATGGATTAATGTTCCTCTAGGTACTAGTTACTTTCTAAATAAATTAATTAATTTAAAAAGCCAATTTAGGGAAAACTAGTTTCTTTTGACATTTCTGAAATATTTTAATGCCAATCACTTTTCATGAATAGCATTGGAATCAAAAGTCTTGGTTCACAGACTGGGAGGACGAATAATGACAGCACTTTCCAGTACTTGTGTGGCTGGAACATTCAGAGAGGATGTGGGAAAACCAGTTCACATCTCTATTCTGCCCTCAGGGATCTGAACCCACATCTTCACCATGAGATTATATGAAATGGAAGTGCTCTCCCTTCCTGAGGGAATGGTGAAAGTAGCCTGTATTTTCAGTCTTTCTCCCAGTGAAATTGTGGAGGAACAGTAAAAAAAACGTTGTGAGCTACAAATCAGCAATGCTGTGTTTCCATCTTTTTCAGTGGCAATTTTGACAATCAAGTCTTCCCAGCCTCTTAATTTCTTCTATCTTAAGGATGCTAATTGTTTGAAAAAGAACCAGAAAAGGACATCAAAGAGAAGAATCTGTCCAGTGTGATGACATCATCATAAGAGTCTCTAATGCAATGTAATCTGCAAAAATATTACCGAAAGCATGTAATTGTTTTAATGGAACACTGAAACATGGTGGTGATTTGAAAGGAATAAAATGTTCTTTGTTAGATGTGGAAATGATTTTGCTCTATGTATCTGAATGGCACACAAGCAGGCAGCAGTAGAATGTTTGGGTTGAAATTAAGATTTTCTTCTTCATTAACTGTGGAATCTTATAAGCCATGAAAATAACATAATTTGGTTAAAAAAGTGGGAGTCAGATCCCTGAATTTGCACTGAAGAGGTTATTTAGAGTTGGTCCATTATTGCATTCTCCAGACTACACACTGCAGTAATTTAGTAATTAAAGTTACATAGTAATTAAAACTGCTACCCCATAACAATAATTTTATAACTACAGATCTTGGATTCCATTTCTGGAGACCGACACCTTTAAAAGTATGTACACACCAGTAGTCCCTTTACTTAGTACCCTGTGTATTTTACTGGAAAAAATAGGTGTGATATTGACTGGTTTGCATCTGAAGTCCCAATATTTGCATAAATAAACATTTTGCTTTTGGAAAGCAGAGGATTTTTCTACTGCAGGACAAATGAAAGTTGCTCCTCAAGTGAGTAGAGACACCCATCTTGTGGAAGGATTAAAATACTTCACAAACAGGGGCTCGTTGTGGAATTTAATTATCTTTAAGATCATGAGAATTAGATACTGATAAAAGATTTTATTGACTGAAATACTGTATTTTACTTTTTAGCTTGTGTTGCAAAATGACAGGAATAGTTTTAACAGCAGCCAGCATTTCTGATAAACAGTACATTCTCCACCTCCATTCTGGCCAGCAGGTACTGTCTGTGTCTGTCCATGGAAAGGAGCTGTTTCTTTTGATACAGGAGGGAACAGTTAAGAATTTCTGAGTCCCTTCAGACTATCACTTGTGTAATAGTAAAATGGGAGTTAAATTTCTAGTAGTTAAATGGAACTACTGAAATATTTACTGAAAAGCAGCAATGCACTTTATACCTAAATTATCCTGGATGTTATGTGCATGAGTAGAAAGTGAAACAAGCCTTTAATGCTGAGAACAGAAAATGCACTTTCTAATAATTGCTATATTCATTGCAACCTCTTTGCAACGTGAGTATCGCAAACATACTTAATAATCTAGTAACAAAGATCATTAAATAGAAACATAATTTTTTGAAAATCAATCCTAAATTCCCTTAAAAATCTATTGGTTTTTAAAAATAGATTTTAGTCTGAGCACCTTCCTGTGTTATTTGGAATGTATGAATTATTCAATAATCAGAGTCAATATCATGATAGCTTTAGCAAAGACTACTAGCCACTCTTTCTAGATCTAGAAAGAGTTTCTTAGCTGATTTCTTGCTGCCATGAAGGATTAACTCATAAAATCACTTTGATTTAGCAAGAGATGTCAAGACATCCAGCAGGTCTAACTGGTTTTCTTCCAATGTCATTCAAAATAGTATGTGGTTTTAGCACTGGTTCATGTTTCTGTCAGCTGCTGTCTATAAACTTGCAGTATAATCAATTCAGACACAGTAACTTTAAGAATGTTTGGTACTAGTACAAAAACTTTTATGTTTGATCATTTGTGCATCTGCAAAACCTAATAGGCCTAAAGACTAAGACTAATAGTCTAAAGTCAATTTTCAGGATTAAAATTCCAGCCTTCCTGTATGGGTCAAGTGTGTATAATTTTAGTACCTCTCAACATCAATATAGGTGTACAGTAGGTCATTTTCAGCTTGGGAAATACTGCAGTTTCCTGTAATC